TGAGCGAGTGTCAGCGGCGCACGGAGCGCGTGCAGCGCGATCGCGAGGCGCATGCCGGCATTGTCGGCCAGGGCCTGGCCAAGGGCACCCTCGATATCGCCTACCGCTGTCGTTGTGGCGAGAGGATTCTCGGCGAGCTGGATTTCGAGAAGAGGGGCTTGGCGAGGTGTGTCGTCTGTGAGCGCGTGGTGGTGAGGGAGTCTTTTCGGAGGGCGCTGGGGCCGGGTGTTTGAGTGGGGAAGAAAGATGCGGAGCGCGCGGATGCGGGTGCGGGTGCGGGTGCGGATATGATGAGGTGAGGTGAGGTGAGATGAGATGAGACGACAGGACAGGACAGGAAAGGAAAGCAGCAGAAATTGCAGTGTGAAAAGGAGTAGAGGTTGAAATGAGGCGGTAGTCAGTCAGAGAGAGAGAGAGAGAGAGAGAGACACGACAAAAGTCTCTTCCACCCAAAAAACCCAACCCGTTTGTTTTCCAAATTGATCCAGAGCCAATGCCGCCATGCCCGCCATTAATCCCATCCCTTCCATTGATTTTGATATTTCATACCTAATCAAACTGCTACTACTTCCTCCAGAGACAGACCCCATTTATCTCGCCTCGCCTCGCCCTGCCTTGCAACTGTCTGTCCCCAAGTAGTATGAGCTATCCCTGTGAGAATGAATGAGTAGTCTTCTCTGAATAACTAGTATCCTCAAGCGAAGCATGGGATGCAAGGCCGGAAACCCCCACTCTCTCTTCTATACTATACCCATACTATAATTATAATGAATAGCTAGCCAAATCATGTTCTTGACTCCAAGTTTTTTTCCTTCTTCTTCTTCAAAATGCATGATGAATACAACGGCGAGATCGCCCCAGGCCGCGACTATTCATGCTGGGGATTTGCAGGGTGTAAAGATACATATTTTGACAAGACCCTGACGCCGACGTCTAATATCTTCATGCTCCATCTATGTACCTCTATTGATAGTGCCAACGCCAGCCCCCTCGGCACCTTGAAACCAGTCATCCAGAAGCCTGCCAATCTCTTTAAATTTAACCGGCTTGGTCATGAACATGTCAATGCCACTGGCAAATGCACTCGTTTGATCCTGGCTGTTCGCCAGTCCTGTTAACGCCACTATCAATGCCGGTGGTGGTGGTGGTGGTGGTGGTGATGATGTTATGGCAGCCCCTTCGGCCTCACTACTTCCTTTTTCCTTCTCGTATTCCTCCCGTTGTGTCTGCTCAAGCTTGCGGATCGCTCGCGTGGCCTTCAGACCATCCATAACCGGCATGCTGATGTCCGTGAAGATGATGCGGTATGCTGACCCGGGTTTCTCTTTTTGTTGTTGTTGGGCATCGCGAAATGCTTCGACAGCACGGAGACCGTCCTCTGCGCATGTATAGTCGTATTGACGTTTGCGCATGAAGGTTTCCAGGAGGCGGAGATTGATGGCGTTGTCATCTACCAGTAGGAGACGAGGGTTTGGAGGTGAAACACCTTGTTTATGGCCTGAATCTGATTGAGAAGGTGATGATGCTTTTGCTGCATCTTCATGTTCGCAGGGTGGCTTTCTCTGCTGCGGGGTGTCTGCAATATGTGAAGTTTTGGTCGACTGAGATGTGTCCGGGAGATGTTCATTGCTGCTTCTAGGAATGATAACCGGATCTTCTCGCTGTAGTAAATATGATTCAACGTCAAGGTCGGCCTGAAGAGCCTTCAATCTCTCAAGAATGGTCAGTGGTGGAGGTCGGCGATATTGCCCCTTCCACTGTGCGGCGGCTTCTTCACAGGCAGCAACTGCCCTCGCCATCTTTCGTGGACCAAATGGAGCGCTCATGACTTCGAAGGCACGAATAGATCGACCTAGCATATCCTCAACTTCCCTTCGACGCATTTCGCTCGCAAGCAGAGCGATCACTCGCGGCTGCTGTTTCTGCACATCTTCGACATAGGGTTGGATGAAATCGGTGATCCGCTCGTCGACCAGGACGACGACGTAATCAGCGTCGTGAACGTGTTCATCTGATTCTGGATAGGGTCTCATTTGCAACCAATCAACCATGCAATTTGCCACTGACTTCCTGATGCTCTCCTTGATAGTGCCATCGCGCCCTTCGAATGCAGGAGGTTTTACCCTGCCATCAGACTTGAAGCCAATAAATCCCACCCGCATATCTTTGTCAGATAGACAAAGATTTTCAGCTTCAGTGGGTTTTATCGAAGGAACAGAATGCTCGGCAGAGTGATTCTGGTCGCTCCGAGACAGCGGAATTTCAAGCGAGACAGTCGTGCCGACCTAGAGAGCCGTTAGCAGCATCCCTACCGTCCTAGCTTTTCAAGTGCATACTCCCTGTTCCGATCGTACCTCCATGCTCCCTTTCAAATTGTTGACCAAAGACTTGACAATTGACAAGCCTAAGCCGCAACCTGTCGAAAGATGGTCTTCCTGCGAGAAGGGATCGAAAAGTCTCCTCCGCAGAAAATCCAGCGAAATGCCTCTTCCAGTGTCCGAAACACTAAGAGTTATAATTGATGACAACTCGCCAATGTGATCATCAAAATTTTGGACGCCTAATCGAACGCGTATACAGCCGGACGCCGTATACTTTAGTGAGTTGCCCAAAATGTTCATAAGAATCCGCTGCAGTGCTCCTGGTTGAGTCACATAAGTCCAGTCTTTCTGATAGTCGAAATCAAGTATGACTGCAACGTTCTTGTTGAAGCCATACGTATCGTCCTTGTGGCCCCGCTGCTTTGATAGCCACTCACCCTGATCGAGTCTGGCATATGACTCGGCCGAAGACCCAATAACACCATGATCTGACTGCATGTGAGATTTCCCAGCCACTGATCCTTCTACTACCTCCTCGCACAGCTCTGCAATGTCCGTGTTGGCGTACAAGTTTTGCATCTTGGACCCAAATTGTATGCGGTCACTGCACACCGAGCTTCCTCGCTGGGAGGCAGCCTGCGCATCCTGAATTTATCAGTAGAACCTCTTATGAAGATGTACGTTGCGACTACCTTCTCAAAGCTGTTGATTTTAGAGTAATCCAAGACATGCTCAATGACTTGTAGCAGCGTCTTCCCACAGCTGACCTGTGTGCTGATGAGACTCTTCTGATACGTATCCAGGTTCGTATCTTCAAGGAATTCGGCAGCAGCAAGTATTCCATGAAGTGGTGACCTTAATTCATGAGATATCGAGCCTATGAACGCATTTTTGGATTCGTCCGCAGCGACCGCGTTGATTCGAGCGACTTGTGCCCCAACGCTATTGACAAAGCTTTTGACGAAACCAAGCTCAGCCTCAGCAGACAAGATGCGCGTAACGTCCGTGGTGAAAGCAAAACATCCTGCTGTGGCGCGTGACAGCTCTGCTTCGAACAGTGGCACGAACAAGATCTGCCTTACCTAAGGAAGAGTTTTTTTCAGCGTTGCTGCCTCCGCTTTCCTATGTTCATACCCATTTCTTTTACTTCGTGAAGCACTCTCTGAGGCCGAGGGCCGGTCACATCCTCCTTCGTCAGTGGAGGTGGATAATGAATCATCTTCTCGAAACAGCCACATCGTGCCATTCGGGTATTTTCTAGTTAATTGTAGAAGAAAATCTTCTTCCAAGGACGGGAATTCATCAGCATCTTGTGGTCGACTTCCATCCAGTGATGAAGAATTATGGAGCGCAAACCCCAGTACTTCTGCATGGAGTATCATGGAGGCGTTCATGTGCGAATGTGGAACCGTTAAAAGATCCTGCCCGTTTAGCGTCGTTCAACGCTCTCGTGTACGCTGATCCAATGGGTCGCCTGGGGCGTTGTAGCTACCAGTTCGGACAACATGCTCTCGTACCAAGAAGCCTGCTGAGGTATCAAAAAACACGCTGCATCCTTGTCAACATAGAGTGAAACGAACAGCGCCATACTCACCATCCTTGCATTGCCAAGCTGTCTCTAATCAGGTAGGAAGCTCTAGCATAGACAAGATCTCGATCATGCTTGTCCTTTGAATCCATCATTTCCTCATCTGCAGAAGTTTCTGGCTTGGAGACAACAATGTTATCTTCTCTTGTCCTCTTTGCAACCTGAGAACGTTCAGTCACGGTTGGAGTGTAAGAATTAGAGGAACTTCCACCCTGCAGTTGTGCTTGGGCATCGCCTTTGCTCTGATTCGCTGCATCTAAAGAGTGCAAGTGAGCCGGGCCCTTAGAAGCATCACGTGCAGGTGAGTTCCAGTTGCGCGCATCATGGTTCTCCTGAGCTCCATCAATGAAATAGTCAATCGCTTGCACCACCCTCAGGACTTTTTGACGTTCGATGCTCTCCTTCCGTGATTCGAGGTTACGCATTACCAGAGAAGTAATAGCCCTAGAACCAGCGTCAGTCATGCTACCAAGGCAGGATCCACACGAACCGACCGCATAAATCTCATCTGCCCGTTCCTGGGCTCCTGACGAACTTTGTCATCCAGCAGCCACAAAACCCCGATCTTGTGGCTTTTCGCAGTATGAACTGGCGTGCTCCAGAAACTTCTCAAGAAAGGGGGTCCTTTCACACAGGACAGCATACCAAGGCCTGCATCCAGGCTGACATCTGCGATGCCATACAACGGCACTTCAGCACTCTCTTGGACTTTCGTGTGGATGCTCTTCTGACAAAGATTGTAATGCCAATGCCCCTTGTTATAATATTAGCTATCTGTCTGAAACTTTCAGATGAGACAGTGGTACGCACTTGAGTAATATCCAACCACTCACCATCCTTGGATTCCTTGTCCGAGGCAGCTCCATCAAGCTCAAGTGATTGGGTGGATTGTGCAAGAATATACTGGCCATGACGTCCAAGGAGAGATACTCCAACCACTTGTGCATCTAACCTGGTGGCTGCGAATTGGCAAAGGGCAAGCAGTGTAATATCAGGATTCGACGTTTGTACGGTACGGTTCGCGGTGGTAATCTTGGGGGCGTGAGATGGCAGCTTAAGGTGTTGCTCGTCCTGGTCGCCCGTATGTGACTGCCAGCGTAGCCTGCTAGTATCCTCTTCATAAGTGAGATACCTACCATTGAAGGCGTGGTTAATATATCTTCAACGTGCTGGGTAGATCGTACTACCTAAAAAGCTCAACAACTCGCTGACCTTCATCCTCATCCATTATTGCTAACTCATGGTAAACAGGAACGGCATATACAAAATCGATTTCTAGAGGGAAATTGAGGGTCGAGAACATCTGGCACCGCACTCAAGCGGTGGGAACAAAACCGGCGGAATGCGAAATGCGGAATGCAGATCAGGTTCACCACAAGGGACCAGAGGGACCTGTCAAATAACCACTAGCTGCAGATCTTGGGTTTAAGGTTCAGGGTCTAGATCATCGTTTGACCCTAAACCGCCGGTCTGGAACTTCTTGCGAACATTGAGGGGAAAGGGTCAAGAACTCAAAAAGCTCCAAGCGTGTCAACTTACCTCCTGGGGGTTCTTATGTTAGTATCAGTAGCACAACATGTAACAGACACCCGAACAACTGATGGCCTTAAACATCTAATTGCCCTAGTCTTCGCCACATCAAGGTATTCCTAGACTAGATCATAGGTCGCGCAGCCCGCGTCTGTTTCTCGAGAGCCGAATGCCTCATAGGTGGTGGCTTACCGTGAAATATGCTCTATACTGCTAGAGTCTAGCAGAGCAATGGCTGATCGTGGGGTGTTATATCGGACCCTGGTTTGGAGCACGTCTGAGGTATTCTTCGAGATAATTATCGCTGCCACACTGTCGATGCATTCATAGCTTTTGACATCAAGATGGTATTCATTTGCTCCAGACATAAGACCAATATTTTCAAAGAGTGGGCAGAGTGGTTGAATGAGCTAAAGATAGAGCTGTTCATTTCTGAAGGGTCGGCAGAGTGCATCGACCAAGTGTTTTCACCAGATGACGTCCTACCTTTTGACTTTCCCATTAAGCAGCAGGAAATGTGTAAGAGATCACCATTCGAGGGTAAAACAAGTGTGAAGAATGACCCAGCAAGCCAGGCAAATCAGGTGTGAGTGGACTCCTTGAACAGCAGGCGGGTAAAGATTTTCCAGATTCCAGTCAATCAGGTTGTGGCAGACAGAAACTTGAGTAGAGACAGGGTACTGTCACTTTCTTCATAACTTCTGCTCCTCAAGTGAAGAAACTGGTTGGAAAGCAGATGATATTTAGTGGATGTATACAACAGCTGTGTGATTTGGGTGAGCTGACAGTGTAGAGGCACTTGCATACAAGACTTCAAATAATGAAGAAACGATGTTTGAGCTTCAAAGAGTGTTTCCGGAAACTGATCATTGATCCTCAGCCTTTCAGATGTGGCAGACGGACGAGAAGAGGGAAATCCAAAACGCACGAGGAGCATAGCTAAGCCTAAGTTAGGTGGGATCGGAGATATCAAGCACCGCTTTGCCGACCACACTTGCCAGAGCGATAGGAACCATGTGGGACGGGCTCCAGGCTTGATGCTTGATGCTTGTGATTAGTGTTACCCCCGGGGGAGCGTTGGCGTCGAAATCTAACTTGGCAGGTTTCGACTTACTAGTGTAGTTATGGGTTTCCGCCTCAACGTACTCGTAATTCCCCATCCTGCATACGCGCCTCGATGGATTCTGAAGATGAGATGGATTGTGTAACCAGCAAAACATGACAACAGGAAAACAGGACAACAGGGTCAAAGACCACAGTACTACGTAGCAAGAAAGTCATCTTTCCAGATCCACTAATCATGCTTCCGAGATTGAGAACTCTGCAGTCTAAGGGTACGGAGGTCAGGAGGTCCCTGCCCTTGGTCACATGAAATTGCTCCACCGCGTTGAGAGTGGCTGGAGCATGATTTGGGAGTAGGCTGTTGCATGTTCCGTCTTGTCGCCGCGAAGGATCTCATTGCAGGATGCTTTAAATTGAACCGCATGGATTGGCGTCTTTTTGATAGTAACTCAACGATTGTTCCGTGATAAGTTATCAGTACCTAAGAGATGAGTCTTGTATCTGACTGGCAATGCACTGACAGCCTGGCCTACTTGAATCCTGGGTGTGACGTGCACGATCAAAGCTAAATCCGGCTGATTTATTTAGCTTCACTTGATTAACTTTCAGGTCTCGGCGTTGGAGCCAGCCGTTCAATTTCCTCTCTACGCCAACTGCTACTTGTGGCTACTACGTAGTAATCTCCCTACACCAGCAAAATTACGCTGCATGCTGCAACAACAATCTCGGTCTCTCCTCTCTCTCCACCTCTCTGTTACTCGACTTCTTCCCATCCAGCAAATACGCCTCTTCTATCCCTCTAAACTCGGTCTGCGGTGAGTACGAGAGGTCATTGTTCACTCTGTCCCGCATCCTGCCAGCACTACACAACCGGACCGCCAGAGGCTGCGACCGACATGTCAACCACTTTACCGTCATGGAAAGATAGACAACAAGGAACATTTTCTAAATTTCACCTTCGAGTGCCATGGCGATCAATACAACTGCTTGTACCGCATAGATTACGGCGGAAGCTCAGGTCGAAATTGCGAAACCGACAATCGTCGGCATCCTCGTTCACTGCGCTGCAGACGTCCTTCTCCCCCAGCCAGACTATTCGAGCATTACAGTCACATCGCTGGTCATTGTTTGACGGTCAATATTTGCTGCTTGCATTTTTGGGGATATTCTGTCTATGCATTATAGAAGCGCCCGGGGCACTGGTTAAAACTCTAGTGGCTACACTCCTCTTGACCTCTCTGGTCCTTCCTATCACTCGACAGTTCTTTCTACCGTTTCTTCCTATCGCCGCCTGGCTCATTTTCTTTCACGCCGCCCAGTAAGTGCTCCAAATGCCATATGACCTCTTTCCTTCGACTCCAGCCTGATATTTCAGCCCCCAATGCCAAGAACTGAGCCTCCGTAACATCGGCGCGGGACTTTCGGAACAGCCTTGCTGACAGCATCCGTAGATTCATACCAAGCGAATACCGGCCTCCGATATGGGTGCGTGTTCTTCCGGCCCTCGAAAACATCTTCTACGGAGCAAATCTTAGTAACATCCTTTCGGCGCATAAAACTGTTGTACTTGACATCCTCGCATGGCTACCCTACGGCATCATACATTTTGGTGGCCCTTTCGTGTGCGCTATCTTCATCTTCCTCTTTGGGCCTCCGACCACACTTCCGGTTTTTGCCCGCACATTCGGATACGTCAATTTGATTGGAGTCATGATACAAATTCTGTTTCCCTGCTCACCGCCCTGGTATGAGAACATGTATGGTCTGGCCCCCGCAAATTACTCCATTCAAGGTTCTCCAGCTGGACTGGCTCGTATCGATAAGCTTTTCGGCGTTGAGCTTTACACATCGACTTTCACAGCATCACCTTTGGTGTTTGGCGCGTTTCCTTCGTTGCACTCTGGTAACGCAACGATTGAGGCTCTCTTCATGAGCCACCTTTTCCCCCGATGCAAGCCCATTTTCATCGCTTACACGTTGTGGCTTTGGTGGGCAACCATGTATCTGTCTCATCATTACGCAGTCGACCTGGTGGGTGGTAGTCTCCTCTCTGGAGTCGCTTTCTACTATGCCAAATCAACATTCCTGCCACGCATTCAGCCTGACAAGACTTTTCGCTGGGACTACGATTACGTTGAATTCGGAGACACCCCTGCGGAGTACGGGTACGGCCGGGCCGGTCTTGATGGTCTTGAAGCCGGTGCTGATGAGTGGACTGTTGGGTCTTCGTCCTCGATCTCATCCGGATCATTAAGCCCTACTGAGGAAAGCCAACCTCCCTTCAGGGACTTGCAAACAAAAATGGATAGATAACACAATAATTGGGATGTCTCAGCCCACACGTCCTGACTCTACGATTCCTCTGTATATGGCATCACCTCTCCACGTCCTATCATCTCTGGATCTGAAACCCCTACACACCGGCTCGAATTACATCAACTGTGCAGCATTTTTAGCAACGGCGTTGGCATCACGGATCATGGGGCATGCATCGCGGCAAGCCCCGAATTGTACCGATCATGTGGCACTTCCTTTTCATTCAACCTTCTCAGTCGTCAAAAACAACTACCGTTTTCCCGTTGCGATGGGCACCATCCGCCCCGTTAATACCTAATTCGGCACAGCACACAGTGCAAGCGCGCATGTACAGTCGTTCAGAAAGCGTGCTTACCTTTGAGGCTGGCCTTGGACCTTCGCTTGTACAGTGTACACACCCAAAAAAAAGCATCCTGTTTCTGTAGAACATTCGCTTTTTGCAGATACCCAACCACCCATTCGCTTTTTTTCCTTTTGGATAGATCGGAGATGAAGAGCGAGGGAGACAAGGGTACATAGCTCCTCCTACGAACATACAGAGCTCATTCTGGAAGGTTTTTTGTTGCTATACGTGAGGACCGTATTCCTCGAAATTTTCTTGGATAGGAGAATGGGAGGGAGCGGATGGAAAGGGCAAGCGGAAGTAATGAATGAGCACGGCTTCTCAAGTCGACTCTACTCTACCTCACAACTCTAGATTCCGGGACATAGGGCGCTGTTTTAGGCAGTCTTTGACGCTGCTTTCGGCGTCTGTTGCACCACGGGTCATGTGACGTGCTACCACATTTTTTGTCACTTAGTCTAATTTTACTAACATCGTACCTTTAAAAAACACCCCCTCTTCCCCATCTTTCCCTTTTCTGGGCTCTTGGTTTTCAGATCACCAGAAACTGCTCTCTTTAATACGCTATGCTCGCATCTTATTAATGGTGTTACTAGTAGTTATAGAGTTTCTCTTAATTATAAAGATATAATAATCTTTGCTTATTGTATATATTTTCTATTATAGGTTCTCTTAACGAGCATTAATTAGAGCCACAAGTTTATATAACTTTATCCCTTATAAGCCCGAATAGATGTTAGGGCTCAACTGGTTAAGACAAGTCTCAACTAGAAGCTGGGTCCAAGTGGGTTGGTTAGGTAGAACAGGAAGCGCAGTGAACAATACTGATGCCGCCGAAAAGTGCGTCCTAGCGCTAATTTGAAGCTGTATATCTTTCCTAATCGGGTATAGGATAGAGGGTCTAGAGTGGAGAGGGCAGGGATTCTGTTAGCCAATCAATTGCAGCTATCCTCTGAAGTTGTTATTGCCCTCGTGCCTCTGAACTTGGGCCAATTTGTCACGATAGCCCTCAATATGGTGTTTAGCACACTGTCGCATACCCTCAGAGTGCATTTCGTAACGAATTCTACCCTTAGCCAGCTCCTTAATGCTCTCAGAAGAGGAGGTTACTCTTATATCTTATAGTGAGTCCTTAAGATACCCCCAAATTGGCTTAATTTGATTCAAATTAGGAGAATTGCTCATCTAAGGAGCCCTTAACACACCTATATCTTCAAGAGAATCTTATGCCTTCTTATAAACACCAAGATTATCTTTAATAAGCTAAACATTACCTTGGTTGCTATAATGATGTTAAATATCTTGATAATAAGGTATTAAGAGAGGGATCAAAATCTTGTTGCAATATATCTACTAATTAATGCCCCCCTTCTTATTATCCCTCTTAAATTTAATGTATTTAAATGTTAGGGCTTAACTAGTTAAGACAAGTCTTAACTAGAAGCTGGGTCCAAAGGGTTGTTTAGGTAAAACAGGAAGTGTAGTAAATAATACTAAGATGTCTTTAACTTAGGTATGAGCTGATAACATAAGTTGACTACAAAGACTATGAAACTATCTGGGAAATGAGCATGCTTATATAGGCTAAGAGATTCGTGCTCATGGCTGCTCACTTATGAGCGCTTGTGAGCGTTGCTCATTAGTTCCTCCTCACGAACACCTTGCTCAAGGTTGTCTCTGTATAAGCGTGTCCTTTCGCTAAGCCCCTTGGGCTTGGTTAGTTCCAGGGTCTCCTCACACAGGGTCCGTGCAGCCTTCAAGGCCTGTCAGTACCTAGTGCGTTCACATGCTGTAACACTATCCCCTCCTCTCCTTAGCTTGGTCCCACAAGCTAAAAGAGTGTGTTGTAACTTCTTAGGATTTTCTAATTTCTCCTTTTGTGATGCCTCTATCTGAATCTTGCATCAGCAAATCGAAGTCTTGTGTTTAGTGTCAAGCTTTATCTAAGAAGATAGCCCTTTGGGGTTGTTGTATTAATATGCTGTGTTCGGTATATAATTGTGACAAGAAACCATGTTTCTTTTTATTATATTCCTTGAAGTGTTTGTACTATATAATAAAGGGTATTCTATATAATAGGAACTATTTAGAAGATGCGTTTCAGAAGCTTGAGTCTAAGAAGTAAAAGCTGCAACAGGCTTTTTAGGCTCTTTATATATGTTAATACTAAGACGCTTAAGAAGTTAAGAGTCTTAATTATTATATAAAAGCGCTTAAGAAGGCTTAAGGTATAATAATTACTTAAAAGGCTTATTTCTTAAAGCAAGAAGAGCTCGTTTAAGAGTTATAATCTAATATTATTAGAGTTAACATCCTTAATAAGTAAGAGTTAGCTACTTTAATATCTTTTTTACTTAGTCTAGATTTTAGTAGTAATAATTTATAAGTGTCTTAAGGCTAAGATTTATTTTTAATTCTTATATATTTTTTAAGTCTGTATATCCTAACTATTTAATTAAATAATAAGGTTTATTATTAATATCTTATTTATTTAAGACTTTTTTTACCTTATATTCTTAGTCCTAAGTTTTATTATTTAGTTAGATTTTTGTAAATCTTATATTCTTTAATGCTAATTCTAATAATTAAACTATTCTGCTTTATAAATTCTGTTATAGAGTTCTGAGATAAGTAATAATATATATTGATTCTTAATTATAATTACGTTTAGCTATCTGTAATTTATATATAATCTTAACTTTTTATTAGGTTTTAATATAAATAATATTAGATAACTAGCTAGAGATGTCAAAGGTCTAATAAATTCTTTCTTTAGGTTTTTATCTAGGTACTCCTTTATTTCCTTTAATTTTTTTTCTAAAAGTTAGTATATTAGTTTAAATACTAGTTTAGTTCCAGCTTCCAAAGGTATCTTATAGTCCTAAAGTTAATATTTAAGTAAGACTATACTTTTCTCTTAAATAACTTCTTAAATTCCTTATATTCTAGTAGGCAATTATTAAGATTATCTAAAGCTTCTAAGGTTATAAGTTATATCTATATAGCCTTAGTAAAGTATATCTATATATTAAGTATCTCACACTTATAATTATAGAATATTAGTGTATATAACTTCTAATTAATTACTAGGTTATA